AAAAAAATGAGAACTTTCCGACGACTGTGGACGAACTTAAGATTGCACTGAAGATGGAGTGGGAAAAACTTGATGTGACCATTTTAGAACGGGTTACTGCATCAATGCCACGAAGAGTTAATGCAGTATTGGAGTCAAATGGAGGGCCAATTAAATATTAATAAATTTTATTTTTTATTTGGGTGTAAATCAAATAAATTGAAAAATGATCTAAATTTTTTATTTTTAATTTTGCATTGGGCGATACTTTCTGTGGGTACTGTACATGTAAATGGTTATTGTTCAATCATTTTTTGGATGATCTTGTCCGAATACTTTCGTATGTATTGTCATAATAACGAGGATTGAAGACACCCTACGATTCATTAAAGAATTTTGTTATTGTCACAATAATGAGATTTATATGTCATAATAACGAGGGTTGACTATTACACATAGCTTCGGAAAAACCGTTACTTTATTAATAAATTCTAACACTATAAATAAAAAATACTGTATATCATGATAAAGTCATATCAAAATAATTATATATTTAGAAGTATTATTTATAATTCAGAAAAGTATTTTGAATTTATTTTATAATCCAAAGTATTTGAATTTATCTAGTGTAAAAAAAAATTCGGGTTTGACCAGTATACTCGCACACGGGATCAAAATAACGATATTCCATTTATGACGATGTGGCTAAACTAAAGATTGAAACTATATATATAATTTTCGACGTTCGGGGGGAAAGATGAAACTTATCCAAAATGGAAAAGTATGGGAATGTGTTACTGGAAAACGAAAGCAGAAATTTCTCGCATACCGATACATTTTGAAAAAAAGGGGATTTTTTGGTATATTTCAGCTGGTGCACTTCGATATAACCGCCGCTGTAATAATGACGAAGAAAAATTTACGAGACATTTCCGAAATTATTACATTGAATTAGAATTAATGCTATCAAATTTTGTTGGAACTATGCATTTTTACTCGTGGGAAATTGCAGGACACAACATAAAGTCACACTGACAACGTTAAAAACAGTGCCGCCGTTATGTGTAAGTTACCAAATGTTTTTCTGTCATATGCAGATACACTAAGTGTGGTTGGTTCTAGACGCGAAAACGTTGGTATGGGTGTTTTAAATTTTAATGGCCGAAAAATCTTTCATGTATTTGCAAATAAATACGCGTAAATAATTACACAAAGTTTTTTCGTATAACTATAGATTACAGAAATTACAGAAACCAAATTTGTTAATGAAGCTTCTCTCTTTATAAGCTATCGTTATGAGGAGTTTTGACATCCCTTCTTTTTTAAAGAGAATAGGTCTTTCGCTATTTCTCTTTTATCTCGCTTCTTTTCACTCTCGAGTAATCTTAGAAAAGAAGCCACTTGTTAGGAGCAGCAAATAACGCGTATTATTAAAGTATGTATGAATGTGTATGAAATATTTCATGTAGTGATACGTACACACAACTTTCGACGCGTCGCAAAACTTCATACAAATAGTAGTGGGGTTCTCACATTCTCTCTTTTCTTTACCCCTTGCTTCACGTTGTTTTTTTTAGTTCATTATATCTAAGTATAGAAAAAAAAATATGGAAAAGAGCTATGAAAACTCTGCAAACTCTGATACTCCCACAAGGGGATCAAAAGTTAATTTAGTTGAGCAAGGGGTGGTCGGTGATAAAACCGCGAAAAAAGGTTTTTGGGGTCGTCATTGGTGGAAATTCCTTTTTACACTCGTATTAGCGTTGGCTGGTGGTGCGGTGGCCGCCTACTTCCTGTGGTATAAACCAGCCCACGATAATTCCAACGCGAAATCAGACCATTCATTAACCGGTGGTAGTAAAAATAATGATAATAATGCACCTACACCCCTACCCGACCCGAATAACTCAACTAACACTAACGGCAATGATGATTATGATGATTCGAACGCGCCAAATAGTTACACGCCACCGTTAAACCAGCCTTTTGCTTACGGCAAACAACCAATCAGAGGGGTAAATATTGGTGGTTGGCTTGTTTTGGAACCTTTCATTACACCATCTTATTTCAATTCGGGTATCGTAGACGAGTGGACTTTATGTACTAATTTGGGGCCAGAACAAGCCAATATCACATTAAACAATCATTATGCCACTTTTGTTACTGAGGATGATTTTGCTCAAATGGCTAAAGTTGGATTGAATCATGTTCGGATTCCATTAGGATTTTGGGCGATTGAAGTCGTCTCTGGTGAACCATATGTACCGAAACTTAGTTGGGATTACTTGTTAAAAGGTATTGGTTGGGCAAGAAAATATGGATTAAGAGTATTGGTGGAACTTCATGCTGCACCAGGAAGTCAGAATGGCTGGAATCATAGTGGTATGTGTTTGTTTTTTTATCTTATTATTAAATAAATTTGTTTATGCTTAATATTATAAATAAAAATATTTAAAGGCAAGCAAGGAAATATTGATTGGATCGTCGGACCTAATGGGACAGCGAATGCTGAGCGTACTCTACGTATCATTCAAACTATGGCAACATTCTTCAATCAGCCTCAATATCAACATGTCACACCAATGTTTGGCGTGTTAAATGAACCTCGTATTAATTATGATAGTTTAACGTTCAGTGGAGTAAAGCAATTTTATCTAGATGCCTATAACATTATCCGCAATATTACCGGTACCGGCCAGGATTTCACTCCTTGGCTCGTTTATCATGATGGTTTCGTGGGACTAAATGCTTGGAAAGGTGTCATGCAAGGCTATGAGAGGGTTGCATTGGGTGAGTAAAGTTATCATGATAATGATAATCGGTCATCGATGTAGAATTAATTTTGAACCTTCTATTAATACACAGATACACATAGTTATCTTGTATTTGATAAAAGTGGTATGTTAATGCCACAACCCAGTCTGCTCGCTTTCCCATGTGCTATATGGGGAAATGCACTTGCACAAAGTACCGTTGACTTTGGTTTAACCATCACTGGTGAATGGACCGTCTCAATCGATGACTGTGCCACCTACCTGAACGGAGTTGGTAATAGTGCTAAATATGAAGGCGCATGTTCCAATTGTACCTGTGTTGGCGCAAGCGATTACAAGAACTGGAGCGCGGACAAGAAAGCCTTCTACTTACAATTTGCATCTGCCCAGATTGACGCGTTCGAGTCAAATGGTGGAGGGTGGTTTTATTGGACTTGGAAGACGGAGAATCATGTTAATCCTACTTGGGATTACCAGATTGGTGTTGTGGGTATTATTTTTTATTTTTGAGGTTTTTTTAGTATTTATTTATTTTAATTATTATCTATTATATTGATTTAATAGCAAGAGGGATGGATTCCAAATGATCTTCAAAATCGAGCACAGACATGTAAACAACTACAGCAGCAATATCCCGGCACGTTTGCTCAGTTAAAAAATTAATCTAATTAATTTCAAATATTATTTATGAAAATTTAAGTGAGGTCAAAAAAGGTTCGCATTTTCGGATATTCGATATCTTAATTTTATCCCTTAGAAGGTCGGATGGTACAAAAAAATAGATTCAAAAGAGAAGGACGGTTTTGACTATTAGATTTATTTCTTATTTCGTGTAGAATGAAAAAGGCTTGTAATTTTAGTTTAATAATTCAATACTAATTCATAATTCGTAATTAATAATTAATATAGACACCCTAACCACAATACATACACATGCATATACCCCTTTCTTAACGCGCGTAAAATTTTTAATGTAATTATTTGTCTAAATAATTAGTTTATTATTACCATTGTTACTTTTAAGAATTTTGTGTTGGATTCTTTATTTTCCTGCGGTGAGATTTTTTGATTTAACAAGGAATTACTCGAAATAAATATTGGTTTTTCAATTGTTTTTTTTAGTCAATGTGTATCTGGAAAACCTCCTGTTTTTGAATGCAATCTCTCTTGGCCCTTGTAAGAATTTTGCTAAGCCAATTCTGAGATATAACAATGGCTGTTTTGAAATACATGCTATCATCCGAGTTTACTCATTAGCATTTTGCCCAAACGAATACTCTAGGGACATGATTATCAAAATCATTATGATCGAGATTTTTACCTAAAGCACTCAAGTGTCGGAACAGATCTTTCCATGATGATTTTGCGTTAATGTTTTTAAAACATGCCAATTTCCACAGAAATTGAATTTTCAACACCCGTAGTCTTATTTATCTTCACAATAGCAATCCAAATTCCAGGCAACATTTCAGTAGTAGTAACTGTCCACATTATGACAATTTTGTTTTTATGCCAAATAACGTGATCTGTTTGACTAAATTGTTTTGTCCTTCCACCGATAATCGTTTAACGTAATAACAAAGCATTTTATCCATTTTAAAATGTCTGCCTCGCCATAAGTGATATTGCATCAATGGGGAGGTTATAATAGATTTTTTGGTTGTTCGACATAATCCTTAATCGTATTTGTCTTTGAAAAAGGTATTTGGAATCTCTGAGAACATAATTGAAGTTTTGATTATGTGATCACTCGATGCAAAATTGAACCGTTAAATGTATATTTAATTTCTTGTAGTTCAGGTTTAACCAGAATAAATTTCAAGTTCCAGTGCTTGCTTGCTTGCTATATAAAGGCTCGTTATATACAAATTTGAATTTGATTGTAATTATTCCTTATTCGTGAACTTTGAATCTACTGTTAAAAGACTTTCATAACTTTTTTTAGCAAAAACTAATAGTCATCGAGTCTAACAATCAATGAGTAAAAAAACAATAACTGTTAAAAAAGGAGACAGTTATCGTTATTTCGTCTTTGTTTGGTTTTGCCTTTTCGAGCTAGTCACCAGTAGAATAATGGCACTGGTTTAACTTTTTTAAGTTGGTTTGAATGAATTTACTGGTCTAACCCAATAAAAGAGCTTAACACTCGATATAACAATGAATTAAAAAATTTGTTAAAAAAAAATCGATAACTCCTTCCGTGCTGTTAAAATAAAGGCCCATTTAAAAATACTATAAAAGTTCAAATAGAAAAGAACAAACCCATCAAGCGTTAGATCAAAAAAAAAGTACACACAATATTATGCCATTTTATTCACATGTACAGCGAGAATATGTAACTCTTTTTAGCGGTTTCCCTTACATTTATTCATTATTTAATAATAATAATTGTTTGAATGTCATTGAGAAATGCCTATGCAAATGGCGCGTAATAATAATGATAGAAATTCAACAGACGCGAGAATGCTATTGTATATTGCAATGGGGTTTTATTCTCTTTATGTATACGAGGAGTTATTTTATTTATTTTTAAATAGAGTTTAGAGTCAGTTTTTTCTCTCTCGTTTTTTCTTACTTTTGTCTAAAAATAGAAGAACATAAATTTGATTTATACCATAGTTTCTCGCGAAATTTTTGTTTAATAACTCGTGATAACAAGAAAATTCTTTTCATCTCTCACTCAACTACAATGAACGCTGCTGACAATGATAATAACGATAAGATTAAAGGGTCTTGGTCTAAAGAAGTAAATAAATTATATACCAGTTCATTAGTGACTTTAATTTTAGAAAAACAAGATAATTAAATGCAGGTTTTGTTAATAGGAAGATGATCTTTTATTAGAATTAATCGGCAAAATAGGTCATAAAAATTGGAAAGCGATTGGTAATAAGCATGGTCGACGCAATGGAAAGCAATGTCGAGAGAGGTATTTACTTTATTCTCAATTTTTGTTAAAGACATTAAACAATATCGACATCGATAAAGTATATTTATAAAATGTAGATGGACAAATCATTTGGATCCTAAATGCAAGTATTCAAAATCAAAGAATCAAAAAGTATTCTTTGTGTTAACGTTATGTGTCCTATAAATACTAGTCAATAAAAATCCACTCACCCAAGAAGATGACCAAGAAATAATAAAACTCTATGAGGAGAATGGAAGTAAATGGGCATTAATGTCCCGAAAAATGAATAGACCAGCAAATATGATAAAAAATCGATATTATTCTTATTTAAAGAAACACCATGACATTAATAATAACAACGATAACAATAAACAAAAGAAACAATCTAAAGGAAAAAGGAACAACAACGGTATTGATCCGAATCCAGCTAAGAGATTGCAATCTTCTGAAAAGAGTATGTATATTTAATAAATTCGAGCTATTTTAATCATGTTTAATCGTGATAATCTTTATAATAGAAGTTCAAGTTCGCGATGACGTCTCTAATTCCTCTAGTCTGGAGGTGTTTCCAAATATTGAAGCTCAGGCTCACGATGGGACTCCCTCTAGATTGAATGAGCTTGCAGATTTTGTAACGAGGTATGTTTTTCTTATTATCCAGTTGTAATTTTCTCTAGCGGATTTACATTTATTTTGTTTTATGTAATTTAGCCTTCACAATGGGGAAGGTGAAATGTCAATTTACCCTCATAATAGTGATAAAATGTCAATTAGTGGATTACTGAACCCCAAAACAACGAGCATTGATTAATACTTTTGATGCTGTGCGTCAGAAGATATTATCATTATAATACATATTTTTATCATTTCATAAGGTGATACTAAGTTAAAAATGCTGCCAATTTTCTTTGTTTGCATGTTGAAAAAAATCTCCGATATCTTTTCTTTAGAATGGGAGTGTGGGTTGTGAAAACTTGTTTCAAATTCAGTTTTTTATTATTTGTATAATTAAAATCTAAGCTATCTAATACACGAATACAAGATCAACTTTATCAACAATACCTCCATTACTTTATCTAAAAACGAAAATCACTTGGATGATGTAGAACCCCCAAAATTGTACCTAGTATAGAATTACGTATATGAATCAATTAACAGATTTAATTTTAGAAAACAGAATAACGTTAATTAATGCAGATTTGTAATAGGAGGATACAAAGGTGGGTAAAATGCCATTGGTGATAAACTCGGTCGGTTTACTAATTATTAGTAGTATTATTATTATGATTTTCAATTTTATTAAAATAAAGACATTAAGCTTTTAAAAAAGTACAAATGAATGCAAGTATTCAATCAAAGATATTCTTCATGTTATATTATGTATATTATAAACATCAGCTATAGACCGCTGAAATGCAATGTCAATGATAATGACATAATGACAATGATAATGATAATGATAATTGACAATGATAATAATAAACAAAGGGAGAAAGTAATATTAGTCCGAGATTACCATACTTCAAAGAGAGTATCTAACGACTCATTAACGGTTTTAAATAATTTTTTTATACAGGTTGTAAAGAAGAGTCCAATTAAAAAAAGAAAGAAAGATAATTCCAGTCAATGTAAAACTGAGTCTCTAAACATAATTTTTTGACGTGTGTCGGAAACATTTACAGTCAGCACGAATTGACGATCAAAATTTATAACGAACACGATGCGATGTTGTAAGAAGTGTGGAATTACATTTTTTGGCCGGCGCTAATCTTTATCCCTATAACTCTAGTCATCTAATTTGGGCCTCGTTCCCCATTTATAACCAATATATACACCAATGCACATTGATATTGTACCACTCGCCAATTTCCTTTGTTTGTGCTTTAACGGTTAAAGCATAAAGAAAAAATTCGCTATTTAAAATGTGAGCGATATTTTCCCTGTGAATAATTAAAATCTAAGGAAAAAATGTTATTTAACATGCGACAAGATTCTGCTCTACAATCCTCATCTTCATCAACATCTTATTCGATCACGATGAATACCATTAATAATAATAATAATAATACAGAGAAACATAGAATTCGCCAATTTGGACCTTGGACAGAAGAAGTAATTTAATTATATATGAATTAGTGGTTCAACTTTTAAAAAAAAAGACAGTAATTAAAATGCAGATTTGCAATAGGAAGATACTCTTTTATTAGAATTAATCAAAAAAATGGGTCATAAAAATTGGAAAGCGATTGGTAATAAGCATGGTCGACGCAATGGAAAGCAATGTCGAGAGAGGTATTTACTTTATTCTCAATTTTTGTTAAAGACATTAAACAATATCGACATCGATAAAGTATATTTATAAAATGTAGATGGACAAATCATTTGGATCCTAAATGCAAGTATTCAAAATCAAAGAATCAAAAAGTATTCTTTGTGTTAACGTTATGTGTCCTATAAATACTAGTCAATAAAAATCCACTCACCCAAGAAGATGACCAAGAAATAATAAAACTCTATGAGGAGAATGGAAGTAAATGGGCATTAATGTCCCGAAAAATGAATAGACCAGCAAATATGATAAAAAATCGATTTTATTCTTATTTAAAGAAACACCATGACATTAATAATAACAACGATAACAATAATGATAAACAAAAGAAACAATCTAAAGGAAAAAGGAACAACAACGGTATTGATCCGAATCCAGCGATGTTCCGAAAAGTGTTTAATTTTTAAACATGTTAATCATGATAATCTTTTGTAATAGAAGCTCAGGCTCACGATGACATCTCTACTCCTTCTAGTCTGGAGGTGTTTGCAGATTTTGCAACGAAGTATGTTTCTTTATTACCCAGTTTAATTTTCATTAACGGGTTTAAATTTACATAATCTATATTTCACAGATGGGAAAATAAAATGTCACTCAAGGCGGTACTGAATCCCAAAAATTCTCAAAACATTGAACTATTTTCTAATTGTTAATACTTTTGATGCTGTGCGTCAGAAGATACTACATTATTGAGAAATCAGCATGAAAATTACCAATTTGTTTTATTGTTAATGGTTAAAACATCCGGTGCGTGGTATCTCTTTTTTTGGGGGGGGTGTGAAACTGATAAAATAAAATTCATAAGGTTAACATCTAACACGCGACAAGTTGATTATATTCTACAATAGTCATCTTTATCAATATCTCATTAAATTATGATGAATATTGTTTGTTAATGATAATAAAAATTCATGACACATAGAATTCGCCAAACTGACCTTGGACAGAAGAAGTAAACGAAATCAATTAACGAATTAACTTTGAAAAACAGAGTAATTAAAATGCAGATTTGTGATAACTCTTTATTAGAATTGATAAAAAAGTGAGGCATAAACGTTGGAAAGCAATTGGTGATCAGCACGGCCGGCAAGGTGGAAAGCATTACTATTTTAATTTTAATTAAAAAATTAATATTTTAATAAGCTCATGTATTAATTATTAGGCATACACGTTTATAAAACTATAGGGGGGCAAATTAGTTAGACTTTGATCACAAGTATTCAAAATCCATGAATCAAAAAAAGTATTCTTTATGTTAACATTATTATTATGCACATTACAATAATAGTAAATGGGAAGTACGCTCACAGAAAAAGATACTAAAAATGTATAACGATAAGGAAGATGTCTCGAAAAATGGATAGGATAAAAATCACCATTTATCAATAAGCAATAACAATGGCATTGAAAATGATAATAAAGAGAATCACAGCAGCATTTTAGCAGTTAAAATATTACAATACTCCGAAAAAATGTATTTATATTTAGTTTAAGTTTGATCTAAATTTGGCATATCTATAATAGGAATTCGCTATGATGTACAGTAAGTTCTTTATACCAAAATTTAATTTTAAATTTTTTTTTAATAAAAGAAAAAATAAAATGTCGGTCGAGTTAGTTATTGTTTGACGGAATATTTTACGTTTTCGTTTTTCGTAGAGATGATACTACGTACTATAACGTCTCCCAGATAAGATATAACCAATCAAATGTTTTAATATTTATAGTTACGTTCTTCGTTATTTATATTATTATTATTACACAAATTTGAAATTACTTGTTTTAATGGTTAAACAAATCAAATGTATCGTTTCTCTTTAGAAAGGAATTTATAAGCAAAACCGTTAAGATACCGTGAGGGCTCTTTATTATGATCCGATCTCCGATCTCGGATTTCAACTGCTTTTTTTTTGAAAAAATGGTTTATAAGAAAAAGCATTCTGCTATAACGAACTTTATAATTAAAGTTCAATATAATTATGCCATAATTTCTCGCGAAATTTTTGTTTTATCGAGAAAAAATAACTCGTGATAGCAAGAAAATTCTTTTCATCTCTCACTCAACTACAATAACTACAATGAACGCTGCTAACAGTGATAATAACGAAAATACTAATAAGATTACAGGACCTTGGTCTAAAGAAGTAAATAAATTATATACCAGTTCATTAGTGACTTTAATTTTAGAAAAACAAGATAATTAAATGCAGGTTTTGTTAATAGGAAGATGATCTTTTATTAGAATTAATCGGCAAAATAGGTCATAAAAATTGGAAAGCGATTGGTAATAAGCATGGTCGACGCAATGGAAAGCAATGTCGAGAGAGGTATTTACTTTATTCTCAATTTTTGTTAAAGACATTAAACAATATCGACATCGATAAAGTATATTTATAAAATGTAGATGGACAAATCATTTGGATCCTAAATGCAAGTATTCAAAATCAAAGAATCAAAAAGTATTCTTTATGTTAACATTATTTTTGCTATAAATAATAGTAAATAAAAATCCACTCACCGAAGAAGATGAACAAGAAATAATAAAACTCTATATGGTACATGGAAGTAAATGGGCATTAATGTCCCGAAGAATGAATAGACCAGCGAATATGATAAAAAATCGATTTTATTCTTATTTAAAGAAACACCATGATATTAATGATGACGACAATAACAATAAACAAAAGAAACAATCTAAAAGAAAAAGGAACAACAACGGTATTAATCCGAATCCAGCTAAGAGATTGCAATCTTCTGAAAAGAGTATGTATATTTAGTAAATTCGAGCTATTTTAATCATGTTTAATCGTGATAATCTTTATAATAGAAGTTCAAGTTCACGATGACGTGAAAGTTCGCGATGACGTCTCTAATTCCTCTAGTCTGGAGGTGTTTCCAAATATTGAAGCTCAGGCTCATGATGACATCTCTACTCCTTCTATATTGAAGGCGTTTGCAGATATTGCAACGAGGTATGTTTCTTTATTACTAGTTCTAATTTTCTCTAGCGGATTTACATTTACTTTGTTTTATGTAATTTAGCCCTCACAATAGGGAAGGTAAAATGTCAATTAACCCTCATAATAGTGATAAAATGTCAATTGGGTGGATTACTGAACCCCAAAACAACGAGCATTGATTATTAATACTTTTGATGCTGTGCGTCAGAAGATATATTTATGCACACTATATTATCATTATTGTTTTATTAGATTATTGCGATAAGAGTGATATTAAATTTGAAATTCTGCGGGAAGATCGCCGATTTGTTTTAATATTAATGGTTAAAACAGAAGGTGCGAAGTATCTAACACGCGACAACAAAAATTCTAAAACGAGAATTTGCCCAAACTGGGTCTTGGAAAAAAGTATATAAATCAATTAGCAAAATTTGATGACTTTATGAATATGCTTGCGAGTTTTGCGTTGAAGTATGTTCTTTGCTCGTCAATTTTTAATTGTCATTGATGGTTTGGATTTATTTATTTGAGACAGAGAACGGAAACCGGCTGCTGCAGTACTGAGTTCTCTTTTCTCGTTATGTCACATTTATACATTATACAACTTATGTGATGCCTCATGCTGCTATCGTTGTTTTTATTTGTAATATTAAGTTCTCATATTTACTTAGGCATACTATATGATACATAGTCCGTCGTGCTTAATAAGCCTGAAAGCCACGCTTTATTTTCGGTATAAAAGTCACCAATTCACGTTTTTTTATCTGCCAAATTCCCATCGGGAATGTTGTATTCAAAAACGTGGTACATATTAATATAGAACTCGAAATTAAAATGTTTCGGATGTTATTTACGCGATTGTAGTTTAATTTACCGAACTTAATTTTACCTGAATTTATACTTTAGCATGTATTGTTTGATTCCGAAATTTTCGCGAGAAGCGATCCGATTTGTCATAACAATCCGGCTCAAATTTTTGTGCATCACGATTAACCTATCGGATGAGTTTTTTAGTTTCACCGAAGTTTACGAAATTTGACATCTTTGAATTAACCGTGTTTTTTATTTTTAATTTTGCTTGCTTTGAAAGTATGTGATTTCTAAATGTACACACTGTAATGTTTATACTGTAACAGGATTCTCTATGACCCGTATGCTAATTAAAGATACAGCTCGAATATATTACCTAGCACTAAACCCACCAGATGAAAACTTATTGGTAATAAACAAAAATATGCTTAATGTTCGTAGCGATAATCATCATTGTAGCTATCTCTTCTATCGTCACGACTTCTTCTAGATCTTCTTCGATCCCGATCGTGAGATCGGTCAAGGGACCGGTCTCTGGATCTATGTCGGTCTTCTGAAGCTGTCCTTGAACGACTTTTCTCCTCACTTCGATCACGTTTGGATCGTCGTTGCTCCCTCAAGTAAACGCGCTGTGCGGCAAACAGTTCCTTTTTCAAACGACGCGAGACTTCCTTCAAGTGCATAAAATTACAGAAGCCACCGCGCGTACATTCGGCGTTCTCATTTTGCCGACAACATGCCTCACGAAAATCTGTGACAGGAGATAGCTCGGCGTAGATCGGTCTGCCTAAAATTTCGATAAAGAGATGTGTAAGTAAAAAGGGAAGCTTGTCGTTTGGAAGCCGATCAATAAGCTTCAAATACCGGCATAAAATCTTTGGTTTAAATTGTCAACAGCTCGCTGTGCATCTTCTTCGTACCGAAATCGCGCATAAACATTTCCAATCAAGTGGTCACCAACATTATCACACACATGCATCTCTTCAACCTCGCCGTATTTGCACAACTCGGTAAAAAAGTCTTCGTAAAAATCATCAAAATGTGATTGGATTTCGTCCTCAGTCATTGTGCAATTAGTATCGTGCGCTGGGTTTTGATAAATGTTTGAGCATAGTATAGTTTGCGAGAAGGTCGGTTTGACGTGTTTTCGACTACATCGATCCCCATGACGACAAGCTCCAATTTTGAAGTAGAAAGAACAGTTTACCCTGAAAAAAAATTAGATTTAGTATTGTTCTTCAGTATAAAGTTTGCAGAGATTTTACGCTCGACTCACTTGTCTTTCTCGGTACCATAAATCGAGGCCAAGTATTCTGCCATTTTGTCTTTTGATTACAAATTAACAAAACGGATCCACTTTTTTTTATTTTATTTATTTACGTAATACGATTTACGTCACAGTATTCACCAAAATTAACGTGCGTGATGCGCACAATGCAGGCTAGATCTTGAAAATGTATAACGATAAACACGAGTCATGCATATAATATACAGATACGGAGAATTTATTAAAAATCGATGTTCAGTTGGGCGCGTATTAAGATGCGCAAATAAGGCAAGTTTAAAGGTACTATGCAAAATGAATAGATTAAATAATTCCAAGTCTCTATTTTCCCGTTTAAATCTCTAATCACTTGAATATCCTCGTCCAGAGTCTTTGTTCCTCTCACCCCCCAGCAATCCAAGGGTGCTCGAGGTCATAAGTGTCTGTTTTCGCTCATCAGCACGAAGCTTCGCTTCGGCATCTCTACCCTTTCGCTTTTTTTCAAGATTCTCGAGTTCTTGCTCATGCACACGTTCAAGATGCGCGATTGCCAAGGTTTCAATGATTGAGAGTGCAAAGTATGCTAACATCAGATTGAAAAAGGTATTCCAAACGAGTGATATGTAACTAGGATTGGCCTGAGTTGCAAAAATGATTTTAGGTAAGTATTTATCTTGACCCGACTTTTACAGGTTAGATCAAAATCATACCGGCCCATCGACAGGAGCGCTTACGCCTTCCTCACGCCGCAAAATTCTAGTTTGTTGGAGCACCGCGGCAGCGAGTTTATCGTGAACGTACGGAAGATAACTTTTCGTGGTATCAAGTATAGCCGTTAAAGTGTCTTGCGAGAAAACTAAGATTACAATAGTTGTCTGAATATAAATTCAAATTTGTTTCTCAATCAATAAATGAAAAAGATGATTGGGCAAAGAGAATAAGAAGAATCATTCATGGGATTACCTGTATTGAAGATTTAACGACCGCCTTGCCGAGGAATGTGGCACCAAAAAATGTCGAGAATGGCACTAAAAATTGACCACACATTATACCTGCCAAATCAAACAAGGGATTGGGAATCTGCAAGGAAAACATCAACGACGTGATTAGAGATGAGATGATCAGTGACGTGGAAAAGAATTGCCGATACCCACCGAAGCGAAAAGAAATATTCCCCAGAAACCTAAACGCTGCATCATCCGATTAATATACAGTAAGATGCGCGCTTTAAATGAAATCTTATCCGGTGATTGTTCCATTAGCATATCAATGGTCGCCAACTCTTCACTTCGACTTCCCGATAACGCAGCTAATATTAACACAATTCTCGATTATATGAAAAACCAGGTATCAATAAGTACAATTGAACTGGATCTATTACCTGCTCTTGCCACGAAATATGGCGGCAATTCTCCGATTGCCGTGCCAAGACCCCAAAAGAATGACTCCCATTGTACTTGTCGGAAAATGCTGAATAATGATACGGAGATGGACCCTACGTTCGTAGGATTACATCGGAATCTTTAGAAATGAAATCCACTAAATCTTAGATTTGGCTCCTTGTCGAAAATTAGGAAGAGAACTTTGGAACTACACATACATACCTATCAGGACCTCTTGTTTCAAAATCGAGATTTCCGCATTCATAAGCGACCCATGTTACTTCAGCGATATATGGACCCAGGAATAAAACGAATGTATGTAGACCGGTCCCTAAGCCAACTGAAGATGCGATCCCTAATCCTATCCAGTAAAAATACCAAAGTATTAAAGATTGGGTATTACGTATAACCTAAACAAGGAAAGGTTCAATGTGAATGCGACTCTAAACAATGATAAATCATGAAATAAAATGATGGAATATACTTGTTGATGTGATCCATCCACCAGTAACGCAACCCTTAATAAAATAAAAGCAGCTGGCATAGATATTAGAACCCATTTTCGTGAACTCGCGTACTTCAAAGCCGATTTGAACTTGTAAAACATGTAAGCCAAGAAGTATGTCAATACTAAGACCGGTGAGGTGTATAGTGACACGGTCGACCGTTCTTTTTCCAATAAATTACGACGTCTCCTAATAAAATCTAAGAGTGAGAAATAAATCAGGCTCAGATCCCCGAGATTTTTGTGGATCAAATCAAGGAATTGTGAACCTAACGACTGAATGCAACATATCTATATATACATTTGAATTCATACCGTCAAAGCTTTCCTCTCTCACGTTTGCTCTTCGAAACATCTTCCGTGAAACAAGCCTTCCATCGTCTGACGTACCACCCTCACTCGCCGAATCGTATACAGAATCAACACTATTTGATCGGGCCCTATTTCGATGTCTGGCTCTTCTAGTGGCTGCGTAATCCCCGGTCGGTCCAGGCGACTCGTCAATTTGTATAACGGGAACCGGTCTGTTTTGAAGGACAAAGGGGGGATGCCTGAGCAAGCATACAAAGAAAATAGGCTTTAATATTCGCATACATACCCAATACCAGCTATTGCAGTTGTTGAGACTTCAGCTTCCATTATATATAAGTTAACATGTAAAAGCTTTCAAGTGATTAACGGTAAGTTGGAAATAGAAACCCCGAAAAAAAGTGAATATTCAAAAATTGTAGCGTAGCAAGTAAATCTCCAATATATGGTACACGTGTTCGAATTAAAATGTTGCACAATATCTCGCGCCCAATCAATTGCTGCCACAATATAAAGCCCCGGCCAAGATTAAGTTGATGCGGCCGATTCTACATTGAACTAACTTTTCTTCAATAAACTTGGCGTCTCGAAAAGATCTTATTGGTAAGGTGAATTGGTGAATTTCCTCGTAAAAGTCTTCGTTAAGAAAAAAGGGTTTAACTGTTGTAATCCCATTCCACGAGAACATTCCATGAGAAATTCGTGTATTTATTATGCATTTTGTATTAGTTTTCTAAATTTCGCCATTAAGCTATCATATAAAAACTTCCAAATTTGGTCTCTAAAATAATTAACGTTAATGCTTGAATGCTAGTATACGTTAGTAGTATATGTTGTGTGTGTGTATTATAATATAGATATTTTAAATTTACACTTCTCTATTAAAATTAACGAATTTGAATTACTCTGAAAAAAGCCTATAATTGATTACATTATGATACTATGCATTGTTTCAATTACAAGTCAGAATGAAAGAGTTCATTTATTCATGTATACAGTATTTATCTATTACTAAGATTCTTTTTTCATCATATAGTTCTTTCCCAACATAAAATTTATTTTGCAAATTTCGTTTATACACTCTGCTTTGTTCATTCATTTGTTCCATTCAAATGAATGCTCAATTATTGTCAAAGTTGTTTAGTTGTGTAATCCGCAGTTGATATTAAAACAGAACCGAAAAACAATAATAAAATTCACAACGCGTAATTTATCGTATCACGTGAGATTTTCGATAACCACAATCGTTTTTGCATGGTAAAAATTAAAATATTAGTTCTCTTGTTAGCTTTAGTTTTCTTAAAGAACATCGCTTGGTTCACTATATTAATAAAAAAATTTATTAAATCACAATCTAATAACAATCCGTATTTATTATTCTTGGTAGATTTTCATTCATTCACACTAACGAATTCATCACATAACTATTTACAAGGGAGGAATAAAGATCCGCAGGTATTGGGGGGGTGGGTGGGATTGTGTGAATATATGTGCGCACGTGTGAGTATGTTGTAGCTTGAATAAGGCATCGTATTTCCGAATAACATTAATTATTGCAATGGTGGTATTAGTAAGGAGTAATAATAATAATAGTATTTATGTAAATTATCCATCACCAATTTGTGTCATTACAGCATCAAGTAAAATGTCTTTTTCCGTGCGAAGACGTTTCAATTTCTTTTTAATAGCCTGATATTCGTCAATCAATAACTCATTCTCTCTACGAATGTAACGATGTTTCGCCTTGAGAATCAAATATTTTTCGTGATAGGATTTTTGTTGGTCCTGACCGTGATGATTGGAGGATGAGACATTCGCTGTACTACCTTCTCTGGATGACGAGGAACTGGTAGTAATAATACTGTTATTATTATTATTGTTGTTGTTGTTGTTGTTGTTGTTGTTGCTGTTGTTGTTGTTGTTATTGTTGTTGACTTTTTGTTCATCATCATCTTCCATCATTTCACTATCAATGACATCATCCTCTTCATTATCATCAATGTGGTCTCCCTCATCGTTTTCGTCGTCATCAACTTCACTTGAGGAAGAGGTGTAAATATGATTCTGATTGGAATAAGATGTGGTCTCTGATTGTCGGTAATTAGATGGTGATGATGAATTACGATTTTGACGACTACTATGATTATTGTTGAGATGATTATTTTCATTGTGATTATTATTGAGATAGTGATTATTGGAAGGCGATAAACCATTATTATTATTATTGTTGTTGTTATGGTTACTGCTACTACTACCGCTACTATTATTGTTGGTTCTTAATTGTTGACGATTCGAGCGACCATTCGTTGTTGTGGCTGTGGTTGTCGTTGTCGCCGATGACAAATTGCTATCATTATCATTATCACCATCGTCAACTCGTCGTTTTTTGTACGAGGTGTGTTTTATTATTTCATCCATGTTATGCTTTTTTTTACTGTCTGACGTATCTTCGTGTTGACTTTTCATATGCTGAAAAAAAAACATAAACACAACATTGAAATTGGATACCAAAAAAGAGATGACAACGCAAAAAAAAAAAATTATACGGTCAAGGAAGGTACAAACCTTTGTCAAAGAATCCGGTCGTGTAAATTTCTTTCCACAACCTATTATCATCATTTTAAAAAATTTGGATTACTAAAATTCATCATTTAGGTATAATTTCTGGCGTTTAGATGCGCGCGTCTCCGTGTTCATACACCTCGGAGCGTTAAGCACCAAAGAAATAACTCTCTCCCTCGGGGATAAACAGAAATTCAAACAAACGATAACACTGAAAAGACTAACCTTTAACCTCACAAGTAAAAGGTTTTTCACCAGTATGACTCCGTAAATGTGTAATAAGCGCAAATCGCGAAGTTTGCGTTTTACTTTTTCGAGGACACCCTGCCCACTCGCAGGTATACGCAGCTTTTTTTCTTCCTACGTGTTCTATAGAAACACAGGTCGTTGAAATGGAGGAAGAAGAAGGATAACAATAAATAGTGATTAGAAGAGAAAGTTATTTATTATTATTATGATTATGATTATTATTATTAGGGTCAAAAATGTACGTAGTCCGCTCAAAAATCAACGTCACACACATCACCCCTACCCTTTTGGAGCTATACCATTTTTAGTTATCACCCTTTTACTTTTATATATATCAATCTTTCAGTCGTTAATTAAATTCTCTCTTACCTTCGTGTAAATGAGACACCAGGTCAATTAAGTTTGTGAAAGAAGCGATACAATCTTCCCATTTACAGAGCAGAGTGCCTCCAAGACCTGTCCCTCCTTTCGCAATAACGATATTGTTATTCTTATCATTATTCATGGTGGTTTTCACAATTAATGGTAATGGCGAGTCAGCCGGCGACATGGGATCGTCGATTTCAGAGTTACTGCTACTTGTTGAATTTACCATTTCCCTGTTGAAGTGGTTCCCGTCGCGTGAATGCAAAAGAACGATCGAGACGACGACCTGAGAGTGTTTGGTTGGTTGACTATTTTTTTTTGGTGTACGTGTCGTCGACACGAATCCAAAAAATATGCAAAAGTGGAAAAATACGCGATGCTATTTGCTTTGAGATATAAATATTATAGAAAGTGCGCGGACTCGCGCGATAAATATGTGTGCGTGTGTGATAGATAGAGAGATAGATATATTATATATTCGCAAAGTATGGATGAATCGATGATTATTATAACCTATAATTATTATTGGGTATTAGAAATTCAAAAAAAAAATAAAATCGAAAGAAAGAGAGTTGTGAAATGTGTAGAGAATGTGTTTCGGTATTTTTTTTGTGTGTGTGGTAATTATGCGCCTCGTATATATGAAGATTGACGTCACCCATCGTCTCTATTTATCGTTATTTATATACGATGTTGTGTATGTGGCGATGAAAAATTAAAGTTTGTCCTTTATTTAAAGAATCCATCAATTAAAATCGTCAAAGCAGCGGGTGTGTTATGTGTATTTAAAGTGCAAGTGTGTAAGTGTGTGTCGGAGACCGGAGTTTTAATGGTTAAAGGGGATTATTTATTAGTTTTCAAAGTTGTGGGTCAGTTACGTGTGTTGGTTGCGTTATGATTGATGATATTCTTTGGATCCCTTTATCATCGTCAAAATCAAGTTTTTTTTGAAGTGTACAGAGATTTCAGTATTATTAATTTAACGTATATACATGTTTGTATTAAAATAGATGTTGTGTGCGTGTCTCTGTGTGTACGCGTGGGATGCTCGAGTAGAGCGTGTGTGTACCGAGTGCACAATATACTAATCCGTACTCCATAGTATTTGGAATTTTTGGTAATAATTACTAATACTTGGCGTCTCCATTCTCTTGATCATTAAAAAAAAAAGATTCCATGCGCAGACGCAGTTTTTTCCTCGGGATACGTCGAGGGGGGGATTGACATTTATTTATACATTATTATATTATACAAAGGTGTTTTGAAACCTTCTACCTTTCCAACCACTCCGTGCATGAAACGTCAGTGTTGTACTTGGTATTTTTTTGTTTTATTTTGTTTTCGTAATGATAACGATAAAATAGCCAAATAAACACATAATCATCGATGTATCTAATCCTCTTTTGGAAGAAGAAATAAAGCCTAACATTCTCATTGTGTGCTAAATTTTCGTTATACTATTTAGCTTACCATCAATCAATCAATCTATCAATCAACGGAAAAGAAAGTTGCATTAACTGCGGATCTTCTTATGTCAATTTCCCCCTTTTCTTTTCCCTCAATATAGAAATTCCAAATCTTCCGCGAGGGTATATCGATATCAAATTGGGAGATGACGCCACAAAAACATTGCAGGGCTCAAGTTGTTTAAACGCCACTGAATTTAATATCGGGGGATCTGTGCCCGATTCCTAAATCAATTTTTACATGTAATCTTTTAACTCTAAACCTGACCTTAACGGTATAATTTTCCGAGATCGGCCGAACCGGTAAATGTATGTGGATATAGGAAACAAAATCAATTGGAATTCAGAAAATTTGATTTTTCAAAAGAAACAAAAAAAAACTTTAAACAATCATCATTTACACTCGGTATTAATTTCGGCAATGAAATTTTATTATTCTTTAAGGAAAAAGTTTCAAACAGAAAAACAATTAAAAATATATATATTAAAACCAAATGAGCACACCATAATTTAAATAATATTTGGGTTAAATATAGATCTCTAAATGGATTTGCCTCCTATTTAATTTTTATGATCACAAGGCCTTTGTGCCTTAATATACTCATTTGGTCGAGAGATTGTCAATATGTTGTACTTTTCTTGGCTTATTATTGTTCAGGATGGAAAATTTCAATTTCCCTTTTTTTTTCGTATAGGCGGACTGAAAACACCCTAGTTGTTTAAAAGGTTTACTCACTTACGTTTCATCATTCAGTATCGAAATTTGGTTATTTTGCCAGCATACAATTTATTATGCATCACTATGGGCAATTGTAAATTGATTGTTCGTATTGTAATATTGTATGTTATTTTACTTAAATGAGTAAATATGTTTTCACGTCCCGCGCTTTAATAATACAAGCATTTTCAAAGTTGAAATCACACAATAACAATCATTTTTATCTAATCTCCGTGATTTTGAATTAATAATGAATTAGGCAAGAAAACCGTGTTTGATATCGCGCGCGTAAATTATTAATTCACGACATTCGTTGTGCAGTCATATATTATATATTATATATATATATATCGATATTGTTGTTTGTGATGGTTCTAAGGAGCATTAGTGGTGGTGGTGGTCAAGTAAACTTTGTTATTTTTAATCACACGCACTTAAAAAAGATGTGTACACATTTAACCACTTTTGCGCTACAAATAGATGAAATACTGTATATATGCAAAAGATTAATATAGCCAGAATTTTAGGTGTAATTTTAATTGTATCACCTAACCTAGTGATAACAATGAGACATTTCGTTCCGGTTTTTTCGTCACATAAGAACAATGACAAAAGAATTAAAGATACAAAGAGATAAAAGAATGATGTACACAAAAAAAATCTTTTAATAAGTTGGAATTCAAATTCTTAATATTATATTTATTTCTATTTTCGTGTTAAAATTTCGGTTGTACAAATCTGCATGACCATCGAGTATCGTCAACAATTAAGAACCAACAATAATAGTAGCGGTAGTAGTAGCAGTAACCATAACAACAACAATTATTGCAATGGTGGTATTAGTAAGGAGTAATAATAATAATAGTATTTATGTAAATTATCCATCACCAATTTGTGTCATTACAGCATCAAGTAAAATGTCTTTTTCCGTGCGAAGACGTTTCAATTTCTTTTTAATAGCCTGATATTCGTCAATCAATAACTCATTCTCTCTACGAATGTAACGATGTTTCGCCTTGAGAATCAAATATTTTTCGTGATAGGATTTTTGTTGGTCCTGACCGTGATGATTGGAGGATGAGACATTCGCTGTACTACCTTCTCTGGATGACGAGGAACTGGTAGTAATAATACTGTTATTATTATTATTGTTGTTGTTGTTGTTGTTGTTGTTGTTGCTGTTGTTGTTGTTGTTATTGTTGTTGACTTTTTGTTCATCATCATCTTCCATCATTTCACTATCAATGACATCATCCTCTTCATTATCATCAATGTGGTCTCCCTCATCGTTTTCGTCGTCATCAACTTCACTTGAGGAAGAGGTGTAAATATGATTCTGATTGGAATAAGATGTGGTCTCTGATTGTCGGTAATTAGATGGTGATGATGAATTACGATTTTGACGACTACTATGATTATTGTTGAGATGATTATTTTCATTGTGATTATTATTGAGATAGTGATTATTGGAAGGCGATAAACCATTATTATTATTATTGTTGTTGTTATGGTTACTGCTACTACTACCGCTACTATTATTGTTGGTTCTTAATTGTTGACGATTCGAGCGACCATTCGTTGTTGTGGCTGTGGTTGTCGTTGTCGCCGATGACAAATTGCTATCATTATCATTATCACCATCGTCAACTCGTCGTTTTTTGTACGAGGTGTGTTTTATTATTTCATCCATGTTATGCTTTTTTTTACTGTCTGACGTATCTTCGTGTTGACTTTTCATATGCTGAAAAAAAAACATAAACACAACATTGAAATTGGATACCAAAAAAGAGATGACAACGCAAAAAAAAAAAATTATACGGTCAAGGAAGGTACAAACCTTTGTCAAAGAATCCGGTCGTGTAAATTTCTTTCCACAACCTATTATCATCATTTTAAAAAATTTGGATTACTAAAATTCATCATTTAGGTATAATTTCTGGCGTTTAGATGCGCGCGTCTCCGTGTTCATACACCTCGGAGCGTTAAGCACCAAAGAAATAACTCTCTCCCTCGGGGATAAACAGAAATTCAAACAAACGATAACACTGAAAAGACTAACCTTTAACCTCACAAGTAAAAGGTTTTTCACCAGTATGACTCCGTAAATGTGTAATAAGCGCAAATCGCGAAGTTTGCGTTTTACTTTTTCGAGGACACCCTGCCCACTCGCAGGTATACGCAGCTTTTTTTCTTCCTACGTGTTCTATAGAAACACAGGTCGTTGAAATGGAGGAAGAAGAAGGATAACAATAAATAGTGATTAGAAGAGAAAGTTATTTATTATTATTATGATTATGATTATTATTATTAGGGTCAAAAATGTACGTAGTCCGCTCAAAAATCAACGTCACACACATCACCCCTACCCTTTTGGAGCTATACCATTTTTAGTTATCACCCTTTTACTTTTATATATATCAATCTTTCAGTCGTTAATTAAATTCTCTCTTACCTTCGTGTAAATGAGACACCAGGTCAATTAAGTTTGTGAAAGAAGCGATACAATCTTCCCATTTACAGAGCAGAGTGCCTCCAAGACCTGTCCCTCCTTTCGCAATAACGATATTGTTATTCTTATCATTATTCATGGTGGTTTTCACAATTAATGGTAATGGCGAGTCAGCCGGCGACATGGGATCGTCGATTTCAGAGTTACTGCTACTTGTTGAATTTACCATTTCCCTGTTGAAGTGGTTCCCGTCGCGTGAATGCAAAAGAACGATCGAGACGACGACCTGAGAGTGTTTGGTTGGTTGACTATTTTTTTTTGGTGTACGTGTCGTCGACACGAATCCAAAAAATATGCAAAAGTGGAAAAATACGCGATGCTATTTGCTTTGAGATATAAATATTATAGAAAGTGCGCGGACTCGCGCGATAAATATGTGTGCGTGTGTGATAGATAGAGAGATAGATATATTATATATTCGCAAAGTATGGATGAATCGATGATTATTATAACCTATAATTATTATTGGGTATTAGAAATTCAAAAAAAAAATAAAATCGAAAGAAAGAGAGTTGTGAAATGTGTAGAGAATGTGTTTCGGTATTTTTTTTGTGTGTGTGGTAATTATGCGCCTCGTATATATGAAGATTGACGTCACCCATCGTCTCTATTTATCGTTATTTATATACGATGTTGTGTATGTGGCGATGAAAAATTAAAGTTTGTCCTTTATTTAAAGAATCCATCAATTAAAATCGTCAAAGCAGCGGGTGTGTTATGTGTATTTAAAGTGCAAGTGTGTAAGTGTGTGTCGGAGACCGGAGTTTTAATGGTTAAAGGGGATTATTTATTAGTTTTCAAAGTTGTGGGTCAGTTACGTGTGTTGGTTGCGTTATGATTGATGATATTCTTTGGATCCCTTTATCATCGTCAAAATCAAGTTTTTTTTGAAGTGTACAGAGATTTCAGTATTATTAATTTAACGTATATACATGTTTGTATTAAAATAGATGTTGTGTGCGTGTCTCTGTGTGTACGCGTGGGATGCTCGAGTAGAGCGTGTGTGTACCGAGTGCACAATATACTAATCCGTACTCCATAGTATTTGGAATTTTTGGTAATAATTACTAATACTTGGCGTCTCCATTCTCTTGATCATTAAAAAAAAAAGATTCCATGCGCAGACGCAGTTTTTTCCTCGGGATACGTCGAGGGGGGGATTGACATTTATTTATACATTATTATATTATACAAAGGTGTTTTGAAACCTTCTACCTTTCCAACCACTCCGTGCATGAAACGTCAGTGTTGTACTTGGTATTTTTTTGTTTTATTTTGTTTTCGTAATGATAACGATAAAATAGCCAAATAAACACATAATCATCGATGTATCTAATCCTCTTTTGGAAGAAGAAATAAAGCCTAACATTCTCATTGTGTGCTAAATTTTCGTTATACTATTTAGCTTACCATCAATCAATCAATCTATCAATCAACGGAAAAGAAAGTTGCATTAACTGCGGATCTTCTTATGTCAATTTCCCCCTTTTCTTTTCCCTCAATATAGAAATTCCAAATCTTCCGCGAGGGTATATCGATATCAAATTGGGAGATGACGCCACAAAAACATTGCAGGGCTCAAGTTGTTTAAACGCCACTGAATTTAATATCGGGGGATCTGTGCCCGATTCCTAAATCAATTTTTACATGTAATCTTTTAACTCTAAACCTGACCTTAACGGTATAATTTTCCGAGATCGGCCGAACCGGTAAATGTATGTGGATATAGGAAACAAAATCAATTGGAATTCAGAAAATTTGATTTTTCAAAAGAAACAAAAAAAAACTTTAAACAATCATCATTTACACTCGGTATTAATTTCGGCAATGAAATTTTATTATTCTTTAAGGAAAAAGTTTCAAACAGAAAAACAATTAAAAATATATATATTAAAACCAAATGAGCACACCATAATTTAAATAATATTTGGGTTAAATATAGATCTCTAAATGGATTTGCCTCCTATTTAATTTTTATGATCACAAGGCCTTTGTGCCTTAATATACTCATTTGGTCGAGAGATTGTCAATATGTTGTACTTTTCTTGGCTTATTATTGTTCAGGATGGAAAATTTCAATTTCCCTTTTTTTTTCGTATAGGCGGACTGAAAACACCCTAGTTGTTTAAAAGGTTTACTCACTTACGTTTCATCATTCAGTATCGAAATTTGGTTATTTTGCCAGCATACAATTTATTATGCATCACTATGGGCAATTGTAAATTGATTGTTCGTATTGTAATATTGTATGTTATTTTACTTAAATGAGTAAATATGTTTTCACGTCCCGCGCTTTAATAATACAAGCATTTTCAAAGTTGAAATCACACAATAACAATCATTTTTATCTAATCTCCGTGATTTTGAATTAATAATGAATTAGGCAAGAAAACCGTGTTTGATATCGCGCGCGTAAATTATTAATTCACGACATTCGTTGTGCAGTCATATATTATATATTATATATATATATATCGATATTGTTGTTTGTGATGGTTCTAAGGAGCATTAGTGGTGGTGGTGGTCAAGTAAACTTTGTTATTTTTAATCACACGCACTTAAAAAAGATGTGTACACATTTAACCACTTTTGCGCTACAAATAGATGAAATACTGTATATATGCAAAAGATTAATATAGCCAGAATTTTAGGTGTAATTTTAATTGTATCACCTAACCTAGTGATAACAATGAGACATTTCGTTCCGGTTTTTTCGTCACATAAGAACAATGACAAAAGAATTAAAGATACAAAGAGATAAAAGAATGATGTACACAAAAAAAATCTTTTAATAAGTTGGAATTCAAATTCTTAATATTATATTTATTTCTATTTTCGTGTTAAAATTTCGGTTGTACAAATCTGCATGACCATCGAGTATCGTCACCAGCCAATAAGATTGCTGGCCAGTATTTTGAAGAATTATCGTTGAATTCGAAAATAAATAATTTTGCATATTTTTTATTTCTATCAACGAATCCTTTACAATATCACAACAGTTTAATAACATCGATAAAGTAGTGTGTTTGCAAAGGCATCATAAACATGTAACCTTCTAATTTTAATTTGATTTCAATTATTTCACCGTACTTGTACCTGTAGAATATCAATAATAAAAAATAAATACATTTATCACACAATTTCAATAAAAAATTAATAATATATACCAAATCATCAATCTTCAAGAGCATCTTTACAGTCTCTGCAGCCAACTCGATAGCGCTAGTCGACACAAGTAATGGTTGTATAACATTCTCTTTGAGGATATTAGTTATAGTACCCTATAGCAGCAAAGACAACCACCAAAGAAATACATAATTACAAATTTAACAATAATAGACCAGGTTGGAAAAAATAACGTAGATTGTACCTTTCGAACATTGATGCCAGCAGTTTTTTCTCCTTGCGCGTGCCTATTAATTAGTTCAGTGACGATCGCTATCGGATTCAAGCCTGCATTCTCAGCAAGCGTGGTCGGAATAACTTCCAGCGCTTCGGCGAAAGCTTCAAAACAATAAGCTTCCATGCCTTTAAGCGTCTTCGCGTAATCGTACAATCGTTGAGAGACTTCAATTTCTGGTGCGCCACCGCCAGCTATTAAAGCCCTAGTTTAAAAGGAAACGAAAAAAAAATTTTAGAAATTTTTTGAATCCTGACACACCCCCTTGATAATAAATTATCTCTTAACTTTTTTTTGACTAAACATCGTACAACACACAAAGCATCGTGCAGAGATCGATCAGCTTCTTCTAATACAAGCGAGTTGGCACCACGAATCAAAACTGACACAGTTTTGCCATTATGCTTTACACCCGTGATTTTAACAATTCGAGCTCCCGAGGCCTGAATCTCATCAATAAGCTCGGCATTACCGAGTTTATCCTCGGTAAATGAATCAATATCGGCAATTGGTTTACATCCAGTACTCTAACAAGATTAATTTATTAGAGAATTTTCGATAGATACTAGGAAATTTTTAATAAATAAATAAAATACCTTGCAAATAAACTCAATTTCATCTCTTTCAATATCCTTTATAGCCAATATTTTAAGTTTGGCAAGAAAATGTAGTGACAAATCATTGACAGCATCCCGCAGGATGGATTTTTGGATCAACAAAACGTTACATCCCGTCTTCTTTATCTTTTTGCACATATTAAGTAAATATTGACGTTCCTCTTTCAATATTTTATCCATTAACCTGTAATCATTAACCACAATTTGATTTTCCATCTAAAAAACAAAATAAATATAAACATTACGCGCAATCTAACGAAAGACGAAAATAACAACAATAAACAAATATCCTACGTCAGGTTTTGGTGGTGACAATTGGAATTGAATCAACCCAATTTTCGCTTTTTCCATACGAGTCGGACCATTAGCGCTCTTGATCACATTCTGTGATAAAACAAGTCCATCCACTAATTCTGTGTCGTCAATGGTACCCCCCACCTTCTTCACTATTCTAATATCATTCAAGTCCACATTCGTAGCATTATTAGGATCAATGACGCGTAACACCGCATCAACAGCAATTGGAGAGAGAAGACTAGAGTATTGAGACACGATCTATAATATAAATAGCCTTGATTAGGGAAAAAATACGAGATGGATGGAATACAGTCAAAAAAAAAGTGAAGGAACCTTTGAGTTCAGTGAAGTGCTAGCAGCTCTTAATAATGAATCTCGATCAGACAAATCAATAGAAATAGCCATCTCCGTCAAAAATTCTGTTGCTTTTCCAGCGGCACGCTGAAAAGATTCAGCAATTGTGGTAGGATGAATGCCTTTAGATTGGTAACGAGAATTTTTTTTAAGTATCGCAATTAATCAAAGAACCAACTGAATGTTTGAACTGTCTGTTCTATACCTTTAGCTAGCATTTTTTCCGCAGCACCCAATAATGCACCGGCTATCACCACAACTGATGTAGTGCCGTCACCTGCTTCTATGTCCTGGGCTGCGGATAAATCCACAAGCTAAAAGTATTATTTATTCATTCATTTATCGTATAAATTAATATCATCTATTGGAAAATATCCATCGATATAAAAAAGAAATAATCACCATTTTGGCTGCGGGATGCAAGACCGACATGTGTTTTAGAATCGTAGCCCCGTCATTGGTGATCACCACTTCTCCACTACTAGTTTGAATCTACGTAACGAAAATTGAGTAGAAATTAAAAGAGAGATTTTCAATCAATTGGTATCAAAAAAATGCTGACATTAAATTAATTGAAATCATATCAAAAGCCTCAAGAACAAAGAGGGATTTTTAGTAATATGAAAAGTAACGATTGATTTTTATTCTATACGCAATCATCTGTTTAATACTATTTATTCAATGAGAGAATAAATAATTAAAACTTACCATTTTATCCATACCTTTAGGACCGAGAGAAGTTCGTATAGCATCACCTACAGCTGAAAGTAAGGTTATCAAAAATTCACATGAGTTGTTAACTGTTTGCTTGAGCCAAAGAAAGCCATATGTCGCGCTAAAGAAACATCCCGATGTCATTCGTCAAATTAATACCTTTAGCTGCAATGATGTTGCTAAGACGAACTTCAACAGGCTTATCCTTGTCCTTAAAAGAGCGATGTGCTGAGCCTTTGACTTCTGTCATTTTTTAATAACAAAAATTACGCAAAAAACTAACGCGTCTTTGACGAAAGAATTAAAGATCAAAACTTGAAAATGTTTATTTGGTAATTTTTTCGTTTTTGGGAGATTCAAAGCAAGTCACTGTTCGTGTAACGACTACACGATCACGATCACTAATTAATTAAGTCGGTCATTATTAGTCACGCGTTCACGACCGGTAAATCTTGAATTAGATAAAAAATCGAATTTTTTGTTTGAACTTTTTTTTAATGTCTTCCGAACATACCTCAGCTGACCCGACCAAAGAAACCACGACAAACACCAAACCGAATGAAGCCGTTACAGTTTTAAAGGTTCTTTGTTAATACAAGCTTTATGCGTAGAAATTCACCGTAAAAAACTGAGTTTCTTTATTTAAACCATTAAATAAAGAAATAAATAAATAAATTTTAGAATTTGACTCTTGAAGACTTCAAAAATATTGGTAAAATACCATGTGCACGAAATAGCTTGCTTTATGGTATAGGCAGTGGGACAAGTGCAGGTTTTATAAGTTTTTTATATAAAGGTGTGTCTCTATGTAGTGAGTTTTCCTTTTCTTTCACGAGTCACTCGTCGTTATCATACATGATGTTAATGATGTAAATGCGTCTTTGTATATCGATGACATGTACATGCACGCTAAATGTAAACAAAATACTTTTCTTCTAATTTAAGGTAATGTTTGGTCAGCTTCAAATTGGGCTATTGGTTCTTTTTGTTTGATTGCAATCGGAACATGGTGAATGATGAAATTTTTGTTTATGATTCTTTCAACGGTTTCGAAAATTTCATGGATTGATATATAGTCTAGTATGATATTATGGTGCTCTGTTGTTGAGCATGGGTAACTCATTTATTCTTTTTCAAATTTATTCCGCTCGCTTTTTTAGGGAGACTTGTAGATACAAAAGACAAAAGGAGATCAATCAAATGAAGATGGTTGTCGAGCAAATTAGCGAGTTAAAACGGAAGAAAGCCTTAGAGAAAGTGCAGAAAAACGATTCAGATTCAGAAACCTGATATAACAACAACAACAACAACAACAATAACAAGGATTTTTATCTTGAGAAAGTAGGTGAGTTTTTTCTCCAGAGTTCTTGATAATTTCACATTAAATTAATTAATTTAATAATTAACGAATTTATTTAACTTCCAAAAAGTGATAAAAATTTTAGATAAAAAATTGCCAATAAAAGATAAAAATTTCTAATTCCATTACTAACTGAATTTATACTAGCCTGTAGCCTGTACCACCCACAAATTTGTCCAATCATCTACTGTAGCTGGATTGATGATGATATGCTTGCTGTTCATGGTGGATGTTCATTGGAAATTGCTAGACACTCATCATCATGTTTCCAAAAACAAACCACCATCTAAAATTTCAAATTTTTGGAAATCGAATCACGTGCATTTATTTTAGGCGAAAAAATTGTAAAAAACGGCGGTTGATAATAACAGGAATGGGTAAAAAAATGCCCAATTCAATGACGTGAGACTTTTGAGACTATCATGATAATTCATATAAAGGGGGTTATCGAAAAAATGATTTTTGTAATATATTATAACTATTGCTGCTACTATCGCTATTATTCCTATTATTGTCACCCTTTGGGACTTCTTACAGTGTTCTATCACATAGCTGTTCAGTGTGTAAGTGAAGTGGTGCGTCGCCACGTCATATTTTCTTCGACGACTAGTGCGACCACTAACAAATTTCAAGCAATTGACTTTCTACTCCCGACCCATTTGTAGTCTCCAATCTACCCAATCCTACACTGCCCCCTTCAAAAAAGTCGTTGCTAATTTTAAAATTCTCCTACCATACTTTTAACCTTGTACACTGTTCACTCTTTCCACAGTAAACGTTACTTGGCAAATCCGCAATCTTTAGTAAATTGTGAATTTTTGCTGTCGAGTTCTCTTTTGCAGACCTACTTCCCCCAGCTAATATACATCGAGTTTGGCACGCCAAGTGTGTGCCTCAGCGACATTTTCCCATCCTGGAACGCGAATCACAACTTGGAAGGGCTAGTAGCAGAGGCAATTCAGTCAACAGCGACCCAAACCAACTACCTTATCCACATTTATTAGATAGAGCTTCTGCTGCAGTCACCCACACTTCTCCACACACTTTGATCGGTTCTTTCGAAGAGGACCAATCTGCTGCCGTTTCGTTGCCTTTTCCTTACTCTTCTTCCTCGCATATAATAACCTCCCCTTCGAACTCTAGCTCCTCGTTAGCAATTGACGAAACAAGGAGTCAAGTTAGTGGGTATCATCCAAGAGACGATACAGACGACTACATTCAAGTTAGTGATTCTGATATAGACTTACGCTCACCCAAACGTCTACGTACCGAAGAGAATAATATCGATAAGAAGCCAAAAATGAGGATCAATTCGGAAAATGGTGTTGGTGCTGGAAGTGCTAATGGCGTCTCCCGTTCTAGTAGTAATGGAGAGGTCGAGAAATCAACTAATGGTCAAATAATATCCAATAACGGTAATAGTAATTATAATAAATTACAGAAAATTAGACAGCAAGAACTTGTGAGACTGATGGTGCAATCATTGCAGAATATGGGTTATAGGTTTGCACAAATATATACATATATATATATATATATATACATATGAACTTTTGATTTCCTTTGAATCGAATCTCGATTTTTCTAAATATCCAATTATGAAATTCTAGTGAATCAGCAGCAGCGCTCGAGAAAGAATCGGGATATCCACTTGAAAGTCCGACCGTGGCACAATTCAGGGAGGGTGTTTTGAAAGGTGATTGGGCCTTGGTTGAAAGTCTATTACCCACCTTGGAGTTGGATCAGACTGAAGATACTGTGGTAGATTGCAAAATTAAATGCCTGATTTTCATCTAACTTTCAATAAAGACAATTTGCTTATGATGATCATCATTTCTAGGTTGTCAAATTTTTAATCAGGGAACAAAAATATTTAGAATTATTGGAAGCGCAACAGAAAATGAAAGCTTTAGTTGTTCTTCAACATGAACTCACCCCACTTAATTATAATTTGGATCGATTGCATGCTCTACCAAGGCATGTCCTGCTTGATCTTTCAGATCGCTGTTGATTTCACATCCTTTTTTTCGTTAAAGAGAACCTCAACTTCTAATCTCATTGTATTCTAAAAAGTTTTGCAATGTGCTCAAATGCAGAAGATCTAAAGCGAAGGGCAGAATGGGATGGTGCCAGTGGAACTTCACGACAAAAGTTGCTATTGGAATTACAAAGTAAATCATGTACATTGGATATTAATTATCTGTTTGTGCTGAATTTTATTGATTTTTTATTGCCTCGTGGATTGTATCAGAGTACATCTCTCCGGCTATTATGGTACCTGAGCATCGTCTGGAGACATTACTTGAACAAGCGACAGCATTTCAACGTATGTCCTGTATATATCACAATACGGACGAATATATCTCCTTATATTCGGATCACATTTGTGACAGGTTAATAAGAATTCATTTCTCATTCATATTCATAAAGTGATGATGCAATATATTTATCTTGTCCTTTGTACGGAATACAACAACACAACAGGTCACAGTTTCCCATGGAAACAACGCATGTTTTTAGACAGCACACCGATGAAGTGTGGTACGTTGTTTTTTCAAACAATGGAAAATATTTGGCTTCGGCATCTAAAGATAAAACAGCGATCATTTGGAGTCTGGAGGTGAGAAAGACAGATCATCCTTTTTAACTAGAATGTATATGCTGAATTCTATCATTCTTAATAGACTTGGGAGTTACTTCATGTGCTAAGTGA